GAAGTCAAGGTTGACCTTGACTTGATAAAAGCGTAACAAAACAAATGTTAATAAATTAATGTAAATAAAATCAGAAACCAATCTTGGGGAATCGTGGATCCCCAACATAAACACAAGATTATATGGGCAACTTCGTGAAATTAGAAGACGTGTGGGTACAGGGGTGGATTACATTCTGCGAAAAACCATTTAGCAGAGTCCAGATCTATATTGCTGCCATAAATTTAGTTTCAAAATTCACCGTGACAGTTGCAACTCTTCTTAATTAATTTGTGAATCTTTATTTGACATCACAAATCAGTTTAAAAATAATTCGTTAAGAAAGAATAAAGGTCATGAGATATCGATAGTTCGTATATGGCATCTGAAAGTAATTCCAAATTTGGCGGGTTCGTTAAAGCGTAAGTGTTATACATTATATTTTAGGAAGCAGCAACTTAATTGACATTAGTTGTTGCACCACTGTCATGTATCAAAATGGTTAGTGAAGAATTCTTGAATTGAAGTCTTGTGCAAAGATTGAAAAACAAATTGTATTTTAATCCGCTTTTCGTTTTCAAAAACAATTAAACTGCGTTAACATTTCGGTTAATTTAAATTGCCACATCATCAACTTATCAGTCCATTCACTAATACGATTACCATTTTTTAAGACTTAAAAAAAAATATTTTGCTTAACAAATCAAAAATAAAAATTTTAAAAGTGCTTTAATAATGATCAAATTTATCTTTGTTTTTTCTCACTGAAATCAATTTGTTTAAATACGTCCAGTCAGCTGATCCAAGCGGCCATTTTTTGATTCGACATGAAGTTTGCGTACAAGGAGGAGCACACTTTCGAAGCCAGGCTTCAGGAAGGCGAAAAAATATGCAAGAAATACCCTAACTGTGTCCCGGTAAGGTTGGTTGGGTTTGTTTGTAAACTTTTGTCTATGCTGTCATCTCTTCGTTAAATGCAAATATTCTTGTTTTCTCCCTCTCTTTACTCCATATTTATGGCATTTGTACTATTTTAATGCAGGTTATTGTGGAGAAGTCTCCTCGGGCTAATGTTCCTAACCTTGATAAGAATAAGTATCTTGTTCCTGCTGATCTCACTGTCGGCCAGTTTTACTTCCTCATCCGCAAACGAATTCAGCTGAAGCCTGAGCAGGCCCTGTTTTTCTTCGTGGACAACACAATTCCACCGACTAGCGCTAACATGGGTGCTCTCTATGAGGTGTGCTGTCTAATCGTTAAACTTCTATTGAACTGTGCCCTTATTATTATTATTCACTATCCTGTCTTCAGTCGTGGAGAAAATTACATAATTTTTTTCGTGTATTGGCGAGTCTTTGTGGGATGTAAAGGGCTTTGTAATCGGTAACCTTAGCAAATCAGCTGATATCAGTTGTTTTCACGTTTCAAGAGTGCCATACTCATATTTCCTTGTCTTACATTTTGCTAGATTTTATGTCAATTATTTGTTCCACGAAGTGGAATTAAACGATCCAATTTGTTTTGTAGGAGTATCGGGATCTGGACAAATTCTTGTACATTGCTTACAGCGATGAAAGTGTGTACGGCTGACTTCGACAAGACTGGATATTTCTCAGGCAGCCCCGTCGATTTAAACTTCCAAATTTATCGCAGTCACAATTTTACCTCTCCTCCCCCCCCCCTCGATTTTCATCCATAGGATTAAAAATGCCAGAGTGATAATCCCTAACCTATCATGTTTAAATTGGCTCTTTCGTTGTGTGCGTATCGTGTCTCTCGAACTTAGTATTGTACATAAAGCATCATTCATCATCTTTTAAGCTCTCAAAAAAAGTAAATGTTTTCGGTGCTCAGCCCCCTCTTTTGACCTCTCGGTATCTATTTTTTGGGAATGCTTGATTAGGTATCCAGGCTTTTAATCAAAACCCCAAAAAGCTGCACGTTGTCCATTGTTCGCATTCGTTCACGTTGAAAATTTGGCAGCCGACCTAAACCACACTCGCTCCATTTCGTGGTGTTATTTGTGCAATTTTGCCACTTTTTAATGGTAATTCATTGGGGTTTCGAGTTCAGGTAGAAATTCATCCACTGAAATGTTGCTTGTGGCTCTCATTTAGTGGTTGACCGAATTTGAAGCTATTGGGACGTTGGGTTTTCTGCTTCATATCTCAGATGACCACAAAAGAAGTTTCGATATCAAAATTCCCACTTTAACTTGGCACTTAATTGAAATGCTAATTTCCAGTTCAATTAATAACAGCTACTACTGTTTATTTCATCACGTGATACTCCAACTTAGAAGTGTAGTTTTATTCAATTGGCACCAATTTGCAATAATTGGCGACTTTTTAAAGAAGGTTAAGGGAGCAAACGTGCGTTGTATATTGTGTGCTACAACTCCGCTCCGTGTAATAAATTGTATCCTTGATTGTTGTGTACTTTCTACTTTAAACAATTAAGTAAACATAATGTATCAATTTATCCCGGACATTCCGGTCCACCTAGACTGGGGCTTTGCGGTCCGTGGACGTTGAGGCGCTGCGGAGTTGGCTCGAAGACAAGGCGATCATGGTGCCTGAGGGTTGGCTCGAAGCGTGTCTCGAGTGGCTGGTTGAGGACCAGGGCGATCGCTGCGCTCAATTCACTCCCCTACAATGGCGCGAGGCTGTCTACGAGCAGTGGCTTCACTCCGACCTCAACCAACTCTGTTGTCCCATTTTGCCGGATCTCGCCTCGGGGGCACAGGAGACGCTGCTGCTGGAGGGAGAGCTGTGTTTACAGGTGATAAATGCAAGCGAGCACAGTTAGCAGTCGTGAGCGAACACAATTCAATCGATTTTTTCCGCGAGTGCACTTCACGCAACTGCGTGCGTTCTGAAATCGATACTTATCGAGGCTATATAAACGCACGTGATATCCTGCACACACACACACTGCTGATGCATCAACCGACAATCGAATTGTCGTTGAGACGAGAATTAACCTCTCAACAGACTCACTGCAAATCTTCCCTGTTTTTTTTGGTAGGTCAGTGCCATATTGAACATCGGCGAATCCTATTACGGCCAGCTTCGAAAATTGGAGGGTGACCTTGACAAGGATCTCCCCGATTTGGAGAATGATCCGGATCAAGTTGACTTTGAAGACCGTTCGGTGTCATTGACGTTTCAGTCTGCAAATGGTAAAATTAACCACTGCATTAGACATGTGCTTTGTTGTAGTCGTTAGCGATTGACGTTGCTGTTCTACCAATCACAGGCGCTGGGAGAAATTTATTTTTACACTTAATTCTACTTTAACAGAGCAAGTAGTCTGTGTACTTAATTGGAATGCGTCATTCTCAAGTCTGAGTGCACAAATTTCATTGAAAGCAGATCGACGTAATTGTAATTTTTTTGTGGTTTGTTTTAATGCGTACTCGTTGCCTGTGACAACCAGCGTCGCAATACAGCCAAGCAAATAGGACTTGGGGTCAGCAGCCAACTTACGCTCTCTACCTCACCGACGGAATCACAACAATCAAGGCCGTGGAATTGGGGAGCAAAGCGTCGTCGTCGTCGTCTTTGGTTCTGGAAGACCGATACCGCGTCGGTGCCAAGGTCAAACTTCGTGGACCGTTGAAGCTGCGCAACAGGGTTCTCATGTTGCCTTGTGGTTCAATCACGTGCCCGTCCGCGTCACCACAATCGCACTGCGTCGTGCTTGGCGGTGAAGTGAGTGTCATTTCATGCTGTCGCCCAGGTTCAGCACAGACATCCCGCTGCACGATTGACGTCAACGTGGTGTCCAGTAGGTTGGACTCTGTCTAAAGCTGTCGAAAATTATTCGAGTGGCTGTCCGACGTGTCCTAATCGCGTACACCGATTGCGTGTGTGTAGGTGACGTTCCACCTTTAGTCTGAATCAATGACTCCTTTTTCGTTGATGTCGTGGTTGGTGAAGTCTAGTCTAGTCCTTCGAGGTGATTTCCCAGTGGTTATCAAACTATCGACATTTTCACATCGGCTTCCAGATGTGGTCTGTTTGATCGAGAAATCGGTGGTGCGGTGAACTGGAATTCTGAAATAACTTTATGGGACGATTTTGCTATATCGGTCACTTCTCCCCGATCACAGTTCTTGTCACACCACGTTCAGGTCGATCAAGATGAGGATAGGGTGGTGAAGAAATTGACTCACCTGCAGGAGGAACTGCTGGTCAAGTTGAACTTGCCTGTCTCCGCTCCGCCGGACTGGCTTCCAGGACGTCGTCGCCTCGCCGCCGTTTCACAGGAGGCTCAATCCACGCGGTCGCCGCCTCCACCACCACCACCTCCTGCTCCTTCTGCCTCTGTCGGGAGTCGCCATCAAAATTGCACTGTGCCGCAGTCCCTGAATGCAACACGCGTTGCGCCTCCACCTCAGTCACCTGCTGTCGCCAAGCAAGCGTCGAGCGAGGGCCTCTTCGAGACCAACGATGACGACGACGTGGATGACCTCCTCTTGGCCTGTGCTATGGAAAACCTCGAAGCTGAAGCTGTTGTTGCGAGTGAGTTAACTTTCGATAATCTGGTGGCTTTTGTAAGTACTTGTCATCTGCGAACCCATGAAAACGAGAGATGTCGAAGTGAGGTCAGATGATCTAACGTCAGAGGCGGTTTTTTATGCTTGTTCAGAGCTCCTCACGCGAAAAGAATTGAAGCATTCATGTGAGGTATGACCTAAACCCGTGCCGTTGCCTGCCTCAAGTTAGCAGTGTAAATGCATTTGTGTCACCTTTGGATCAATAAATGTCCACGTTTGTATTGAAACCGCTTCCTCTTTACCAAAAATATGTTCGAGAGCCTAGATTTGACGTTGTGTGCATCAGTGTCGCTTGTTGATTTGGGGACCACGACCTTGACCTTGAAAAGTGCGTGAACTATCCCGACCAACACTACCGCTGATCAATCAATAAACGGCCCAATTACTATGGCATTTCACAAATTCGTGACTAGACACGGGTTCGAATCCTGCACTTGAATTCTACATGTCAGTATATCAGAAACATTGGTTCGGTGTGAATGGGAGTTGCTGTGGACCCCAGCATGCGGCCTTGAACCACGCCGGGGTCACAGAATTAACCCTGGTCCGACTTCGTTTCCTTGATACCCGCAATGAAGAAAAAGACCGGAGAGGACGTGGATCCAACCGTTTACTTCAGAGCTGAACCATGTTTTTGTCGTGTGTGTGGTTTACGTGGGTGTATTTCGACCTCAGATATGTGAGTCATACATGCGCTAACATCGAGACGTAGGTGTGAGGATAATCTAAGATAAATATCCGTGTGAATGAGGGGGGAGTTGAGGATCCGCGCGGCTGGCGACATGCTGCGAAAAGAAGAACCCACAAGAGGGTCAAGCTGGATGTGATTAGGTCGAAGACAGTTAGCGGTGAAGTAGACGCTGGAATTACCACTGACATTTTGTTGGCTAGCTAGTTTCAGCATGCCTTGTTGTCGACTGACTGTTAACTGCATTATTCCCACTTTAATAGAAAGGTTTTAGTGCTGGCTGAAGCTAGGCTCTGGTCCACAGTCGATGTCTTTGAACATGGCAGCTCGTTGTGAGAAACACTTATTTTATTCGGTTGATGTAGTCAAGATCGACAACTTTTCGTAGTCACGCGACTGTTGGCAAACACAATACGGGCGGTTTTGCGATGTCAAGTTTTTTGACGCATTGGGGAGTGGCGGGAAGCGTAAATATCGATATTCGGGTATTGAGAAGACATCTGTCGCCTCCTGTAACTCGTCTATGGTCGTGTCTAGCCAAGCCTTTGTGACATCATTTCTCCGAAGACCTGGAACTGTGCCATCAAATTTCTGGTGAATGTCGTGAATTTAGAGCCAGCTCAGAGTTAGTGCTTTATTCATGTTCTTGGGTAGTTTTTGCCTTCTGTTTTGTTATCTCCTTGTAAATCCTCCCCCTAAGGAATGTTTAACGCAACTTCTTTTTCAGTTTGTTGTTTGAGTTTGTAGAAAATAAATGGTGTCTTAAATAGACATCTATTGTCAACCTAAATGAGTCGGAAATGCTATTGTTAGTCAGCGGTTTTGTTTTTGCGCAGACAAAAGCAGTCGCCAGAGAATGCGCCGTGTTATTGTAATGAACGTAACAAAATGATGCGATTTTTTTCTCTCAAAACCACCTCAATTCTTCCCCGTCCACGTAGACGCTGATGAGGACCAGGTGGACGCTGCGTTGTTGAACTCAGCACTACAAGAAATCGATTTTTCGCCACTCCCCGACCCACCCCCCATCGAGGTTCTCAAACGACCAGCAGCGATGCCGCCTTCCACGGAGCCTCCGAGAAAGAAGACCTCGCTGAAGGCGGAGGTTGCGTGCGCGAAGCGTCCGCACTGCGCGGACATTCGAAGATTCCTCGGTGACACGCAGAAGCCATCTCACAGCGTCCCCATTCAATCCTTCTCCTACTTACAGGTACCAAAAGGCGCGCAAACCTTTCTTCTTGTCGTGGCTTTTAATGTGGATGATTGAGAGATGCAAATCACGCTAGGTTACACCGTCTGAAGCCTTCACATCGATTTCGGCCGGTTCGATCGCACGAACTGGTTTGTCTGAAGGTGATTGGCAGTTGTGACCCACCCCTACTTGTTGATTGGTTCGTCTGTAGTTCTTTGAGTCCTCTAAACGCACGCCTACGCACGACGCACGGCAAAATCTGCTTGTGAATAACCGTCTTTTTTGCTGTTTTCTGGAATCGGCAATTAAGGGGATTATTAAACAGCAGTCGCTTAATCTAGTTTGACCAGTAATCATCACTGATCGTCTCCACAACAGGCTGAATGATCAAGATTATTGTGACTAAGATTAAACCACACCACGTTGGCAATCGTTCGTAGCTTCATTTTAGTTTAGCTTCTTTCAATTTTAATCCTTATCACATAAAGGCAACTCATGTAATTTGAGGATTTTTCAGGTCTCCAGGTGACTCAAATTTAAGAATTTTGTTTAAATTAAATGAAGTTGAATAGCGGCTATTCAAAAAAAAGTATGCGAACCGCACCAGGAAGTGTAGTATTTTTGAATAAGTCTTGATTATTAATAAAAGGAGCCTAATTTGTCCACCACCACCACTACAACTAAATCCCCTTATGAAACTTCTTGCATATTGATTGGCTTGAAATAAATGAATCTGGACTCCAGTTGATTGGGTCGCGAGGAGGTTTCTCAAATTCTGCCGCTGTATGAATGCGATTCGAAAAAGAAACGAGACCACACCGAATTATTCGCGTAGTTCGTTGCCATTGCTTTCCTAACTGGTGGTTATTCATGCGGTCAAATCAAGTTACTCCTTATCATCGCTCGATGTCTTTCCTAACCGCCCTCATTTTCTATTTATCGTAACGGCTTTATGACATTTTTATTACTAGCGGTTGTTATTTTAGCAATGAATAATGGGCTTTAGGCGCAAATCGCCTTACATTGGTTAATCATTTATGGCGACAAGCAGTCTCCCAGTGGCAATGAATTTGCTCAAGCGATTCCTGCCGCATGATTTGTTGGTCGGTTCTTTCTAAGTCAATTTCAAAGTCACCTTTTCGTGTGTCACTAGGTCTTCAAAGACGTCTTCCGCTGAACGGAAGTCCTGTCACCATTTCAGGCTGTCAAATTTCCGGCTACAAATGAAGGATAATTAATTAATTAGTTGAAAATGGAGGTTTGTCTCACAGACACAGCCAAATTGGCGCCAGAAATGCAATAGCGAATTTTGAATTCAGAGTTGGGTGTGGCGTAACCCCCCTGGTTTCCACGACCTGAAGTTGTGTGTGGAATTTGTCAACACAACATGCTCCCGCAGTTGCTTCAAAACAAGCCAATGGCCTTGAGGTCCTATCGGTGTCAAGGTCATCTTTTCAACCAATCAAATACGGTCGTGGGTTAATTTGTATAAAGCTACCTACTATACTTGCGTCACTGTTATCACCGGAAGTATGGAACCCTTTATGACGTCGTTAAATCTTGAAAGAAACCTCCAAAACCCCAGAGTGGTAGCGAAAAGTTTGCCAGTTACACCGCGTCCCAGGTTGTGCACCTTCTCCCTGCTGACGCAGTCACGGCATCCTCGTTACCACAGAAAACCACGTCGCGTTGCATTTTAAGGGTATCTGTCATTGGGTCGTTGCCTGGTCCACGAAAACTCTGATCTATGTGATAATTTGATTGCCTAAGATACCTGACCTTTTCGGTAGGCTGCTGCCTCACTCACTCTCTCCCCCCCCCTCCACTTAGGACGTCTACTATGACCTTCAAAAACAATCCTCCAACCAATCAGAAGTGCCTCGCAAGGAAGTCTACAATATCCGCGGGATGCTGGTGAGCTTGCAGTCGAGACTGGAGCACCACGACGGTCAGCGTTGGTCCCTCACAGTTCGTCTCTCTGACGGTTCGGCCACCGTTGATGCCGACATGGAGGACGATCTGCTGAAGGAGTTGATCGGTGTTTCAGCGGTTGAAAGCGAAGCGATGCGCCAGCTTGGCCGAAAAGGCGATGAAGTGCGTAATAACACCTACCTAAACACAGCATCGTTTGACAGGAAGTCAAAATTTATCGAAAAATCGTTTGCCCGTGCTGAAACCCCTTGCGTAACTCCTTTTCTGCCAGGATATTGGTTTTATTTTAATGCCAACTCACCAATTCACACACCGGCCAATCAGTTTAATGAAACCAATTTAGTGGCCTTCATGTTGTTGCGAAGTTATTCTTGCGTGTTTTTAAAATCACATGTTAGCTATGATGGCAATAATAAAGCCATAATGCCTCATAAACTGGAATGCACTGTTGGCGTGCCCCGAAGCATAACTCTCAAATTCTCTTCTTATTGTTCTGAATATTAAATACGCCAATTTCATTGGTCGGACACATCGAGCGTCCCTCTGATTGGTCCACATTAGGGCAAAATATCGATCTCCGCTTTTGATTGGCTGACTATTGGTTTTGTTGGGGTTGATATCCCACGAACTTCTTGACTCGATACTCGATCGATTTCTAGCCCCTTCCCACGAAAAAACCAAGTGTACTGAAAAACAATAATTGCAGACGACTGCGCAATTGGTTGCGTAGGTGACGTGACGAGGTCAAGCTTGTGCCCAGTTATCTTTTTTTTTAGAATCAAAAACGACGTTTGAAGGAAGTGATTGACGCGTTTCAGTTGAAGTTATGTCATCTCAACGGCCTCTTTGAAATTGTGCTAGCTGGACCTCCGTCGTCGGCCAAACCACGAATCAGGCGTTTCCGTGCTCTTGATTCCCATTGGCTCTCCGAATTGCAAAAGCGCGTTTTGTAAAGAAATCTCTTTCTACCAAACAATTCTCACGTGTCCTTGTTTTTAACTGCACCGCATGCTTGAGGTGGCGCATTTTTCCTCGGGAATTTTAAATGCGGTTCCCGTTTCACAAAACCAATGAATGCGGCGTTCCAGTTAATAATTGATTTAATGTGGTCCCTTAGCTAGTAGAAAAAGGTGGTACATCGAGATGCGTACTTCTGCAAATGCTTTCCTGTGACAAATGTGCCTCAAATTGGGCATTTTCCGCCTACATTTCGTGACTGAGAGTGTGTCCTCGTAAACGTCTATTAGCTGGCAATTTCAGACAATGCTAATTGAAGACAATGGATTTCTAACTAAAGCGACTTCGTCGTTGAGCGGAGTGTGTGTGCACTTTGGCTAGTCGTTAAAACGGCAGGTGATTAGGCGGCTGGTAGGCCCGTTCAAGGTCACCAACTAAATTATCGCATGCACGATTAGCTAAATGTATTACGTGCTTTTATCCGGCCTGCTTGGTAGCATAATCCCATAATAGGAGACATTTCGTTATTGAAAAACTTGAGACATGCGACGGTAGAGGCGCGAAAAAGGTATAAGCACGACCAACTGATAAGAATCAGTGTTTCAAGCGGAAAACGGCCTCGCGGCATCTGCACGTCCGGTGTCCATTAGACTGGGAGATTATATATCAGGCGCAAAGGCAGTCTCGTTGTTCACGGTGCATCTCAAAATAGAAGTTTCTTCCCAAAACGGTTATTCTGCTATTTGCGGCCATTCGGTAAACGCCCAGTGCTGGCTAATGCGTCTGGGACGTGATTACTGTCCGGTGTTGTAGGTTGACACTCGGTGTCATTATTAATCGCAATTGTCACCCAGAGAAAAAGAGTGAGATGTAAGTAAATTAGCAAACCACACAGCCAATCCTGAGGTGCTGTGTTGGGGTTAAGACGTTTCATTCAATCAATAACAGTTCATTTTCCTGATAAATTTTCGTATCAAATCAACGAAACCGACTATTAGTGCGTGTTTGAAATGGTTTTCACATATTAACGGTAAAAACGCGGAAATTGGGCTGTTCATTGAGCCATTAGGGCGAATTTATCCATAAATTTGACGAAATTACTACCACTGAAAAGATTTCGATGGTTAAAATTTAAAAAAAAAACCATTTTTTTCTTCTGACTTATTAAGTCATGTCACTTGTCATTTGAATACAAAACCGCTCACAAAATCGGCTCAACACGAAGCATTGTATCGGCGAAAAATTGATTTTTTTATTGATTTAACTCTGGCCGCATTGGTCCATCGGTTCAGAACTATTTGTGTTTGTGGAATTGGTTGGGTTAAATCATGCAAACAATAAATGCTTCGTGAATCACTTTTGGGGAAAAAATAATACATCCACTACTGTTTTGGGAAGGCAATTAGCATCCGAACAGAGGAAGTTATTGTTGTTGTCACCGTAATTCACACTTGACGGGGTTGTTGTCATAAATCACACGGCATCGCTTTGACACGGCATCGACAAGCTCTGAACGTTAATGGGATTTTATCGGTGTGGTGTCAGTCTGCATTAAATCATTCGTTTTTTTGCATATTTTGGCTGGTAAATACAAAAAGTAAGCAATTTTCCGACATATATTTAGTGTGTTTTCCATAACTGCACGTTGCGAAACCGACAAACAAACAACCAATGTGCTCACTTCAACAAATGAAATAACTATTGCCTTCCTTCAGTGGAAGCACATCACGCATTCAAAATTGTTGGTTGACTGCAATAAATTACATTCCATTGTCCTGGTATCTTTGCGTCCATGATTAATTAAAGACGGCAATTTCGATGACTGGGAACGCTTCAAACTCCTAAGGACAAGCCAGCCTTTCTTCTGGTTTCCCAGTCAACAATCGCGTGACTGCATTTCGTGGAATGGTCTATCGTGAAACCCGTTAAATCAACGTTGAAAAGTAATGCTATGGCAAATTTCATACATATACTTAATCGAATTTGAGTCCATTTTTGTGGATTTGAAGATGGAAATGGCAAACGTACATTCAGCCAATAACATTTTAGATGCTTATGACTGCTTTCAATATGGTGTGCGTAAAACGCTTCAATTTCTCGTTTAAATTTCTTTAAAAAATTCACCCTTCTGAGGTCGAAGGGTCGGTCTGTTAAATTAGTTTTTATAAATTCTCGTGAGACACTTTTCATTAGTGTCATTTAATGTAGTTTTAGTGAAGCACGTAGCACAAATTCTTTGCCTCTTTAGCCAATTTCAGATTTGATTGGCGTCTTTAATTCGTACTTTCCCACTGAATTCCTACAAGGACGGGACTACCCGCCCTATCAAAGGCCACATTCCTTGCTCTAAAAATTAACAGAGGCATGCATAAATGACAGTGTTTGATTAATGATTGTGACAAAATTGGGACCTGAATTCCACACATACTGGCTCCATCTATTCACAAATATAACCATTGAATTCCTTCACCACCTTTTCCCATGAGGAATAATGTCAAGTAGAAAGGTCATATCTGCGAATATGCGCAAATTTTGAATCTACCAATCAGGAGCCGTAGCCACCACTGCTCAGTGAACATGCCCAAAGGGCACGCTATTGGTCAGCGGGTGCTATAAAATCTCGGCTAATGACACCCCAGAAATACTTATAAATATTCCTCCTTTCAAGCTATGCCAGCGTTGGGGTGGAATGAACGAGCGGTTTCTGCTAAGAAGATCGTGGCTGTGTTGATGATATGTGTATGTCTGACAGAAGGCATGCGGCATCGTCGTAGACTGAGTGAGTACCCACCGAACCGAATTGCCGAGATGACGCTTGAGCCGAGGCTGGACACAGAGCCGGACAGGCTGTGCGGACTGCACCCCTTCGACGTGCTGATCTCTAGCCTCCTGCAGAACGCGCCGTCCAACGACTCGACGAATGTTATGATGCTCAGCAGCGCCGTCACCTCGCTCTACCGCACTCAGCCCGATTTCTACGGCTTCCTTATGCGGTGCACGTCGGCGTGGAACGCTTGTCAACGACGAAGAATGGTCGCGGTGGTGGATGAGGAAGCGGAGCAGGCGTCAAACGCACAGCCCTGGCGATTGCTCTGTACAACTGGATTAGCCCTGCAACACCGCGACACCTCTGCAGCGAAGTAGGTGCGCCTGGAAGAATCAAGAATCGAGAAAGACCACTTCCAGACATTCGACTCCCGAGTCGCATTTGTTCTCTACGTGTCTGTGTGCGTGATTGTGAGTGTGTATGTGTGTCATATCGTCGTTTGTTTGGACTCGAGATCTCCTACTACGGATGCGAGAAGTTGGACAAATCTGACCCTCCTGTCCTACCAATGACCCCTGTGTGTGTCACCTCAATTTATAAACTTTCTATTTGCATATATAGTTAATTTGCTCTGCTTTTTGTCACAATTTTGCCAGCCAAAATCGGTCAGAATCATTTAAACGGCGTCGAAAATTTTAATTGTCAATGGCAACTCCAAAACGGTGTTAAGATTGTTTAAACATGTTAAATTATCTCTACATGTAGCCATATTATAATGGTTTGTGAGCTGGCTACAATAATCACTAATTTTTAACCAATTTAATTGATTGCAGTGGCGCAAATTTTGATTTTAAAAATCACAATTTTGACTAAATTTGAAATAGTAAGTTCGGGAGTAAGGATTTCAGAGAAGGGTGTAACATGAACTATGGTTTAAGCCATAAAGCCTAAAAAATTGGCTGGAAACTTTCAGTAAGATGACGTTATCTTTACTACCTTTATTGTCGGACATATACAAATGAATCCATTGTGATCGAAAACAAGGGTTCTTGCTTGTGTGCTATTTGAATTCATTAAATTGTTAAATATTGAGATCGTGGAACACGGAACAATGGGAATTCATTTCTGAATTTGGGTCGAAATTATTTGCTGTGATTTGTCGTGCCAAAATGGGAAATAGGATTAAGCAAAACCCACTGGGGACATTTAGTGTGGTTGCATAATTATCCGATCAAAGGCACACACCATGGGCCATTAATTGGGTAAATGGAGTTTGATTTACACAGGGGTCAAATGCCTTGTGGTATTTCGGATATTACGGTCCCTCCACAGCCGCAGTTGTGGAAGCATAAGTTTACAACAAAATTAGGAATTCTAAAACTGGAAGGCCTAGGAAGGCTGTGGATTCCTTGGACGTGATTTCAGCAAAAGTAAAATTCATTAACATGTGGCTTAATTCAAATGCGACGTGGACAAGAACACCTTCCAGAATAGAACTTCATTCATTTATATTTGGTGTAGGGCTGGTATCTAAAATGGAAATTCAACGGTTACTCGAGCCTTGGGACTGCGTCAAGAAGCATTCAAAACGTTCACTTGAATCGGCGTCTGCTTCTAGGGATGTCACAAATGGACACTTTAAATCGAAAATTATAACTTCAAGGTAGCTTTGGTGTACCTCTAGGCAGCCAAGATGACTTAGTATGTGATTTAGTGCATAATTATGACACAAAAGTTTGATAAATGAATAAATTCGCATATTCTAACAGGATTGTGACACTTAAATCAACTAGAATTCACCAGAAAGAAGGATAAACGGATTTCGCATATTTAAACAGAATGCAATAAACTGAACCACACTTCTAGATTTGCTCCCAAGGTCAGGCTGGGTTCGCCTACAAGATCAAGTGCAATGTAAGGTCCTTAATGAGAGTAGCACCTAATAGTCAACTAAATTGAATGTGATTGGTTGGTTGCGCACAATTAGATTCTATTGGTAATTATTGCATGAATCCAATCCACATTCATGGTGACGTGGATTAACCTTGAAAAAATGTATTTCTTTTGATCATTTTAATTCCAGATCATTGCCCGAATTCAGCAGTCAAACGTTGCATTTCTGTCATTCTAGACTGTCCTTTAAATCATATATAACAACTGAAAGCATTCAAGATGGTTACGTGGACCGAGCGTCTGATCGTGGGTTGTCAAGCAAGTGGTTTTTATAGTGCGGCACTCTGGTGCTGCAAATGACTTCGCACAGGGTGGTGGACAATATCTGTGAACCAGGAATCACGAGAAAATAGATTGACAAGGAAGGCTGGACGTAGAAAATTCAGCTTGGAACATCTTCGAAATCGATCAAATTTTCATCTGATGAATCCCGTCGTCCAATGAAGGCACTGGTTTTTGTCTGGTAGGGGAATGCAGAGCCAATGATTGCAGGAAGGCAAATGTAAACTGGCTGCCAAAAAACGAAAAAGAAATGGATTGGGCATCAGTTTATTGTCTTAGGCAACTCAGATTCGCTTAGAATGCCAGTAAATAAGGCTGCGTACATTTCGACGAACCTGAACACACAGAAGCGTGGGTTTCCACAGTCACATCTCAATTTGCCGGCCAATGGAGGATCGCGTTGGATCGCGTTCCACCTGGACATGGATGCTAGACAGGATCGATGGCAGAGGCAAGTTATAACACCCAATGACATTTGGGGCGATTGCAGAGATGTGGTCTTCTATGAGCTCTTTTCACGTGGCCAACCAATCACGGTTGAGAATTGCTGTAAGCAACATACCCAGGGCAATGCTGAACCGCCAGCATAACGTGGAATTGTGGTCGATGGAAGAGGCATCATCTTCATCATGCCCATGGCAGGTTATATTTTGCTAGCCGGAAAAAAGCAATAACTCAGCTAGATGAATTGCAAACTCTGCCAGCAACACTCACCAAATTTCCCCATTTTCTTCATTTGTTTCCTTCCTTGCTGAATACTTCGACCATCAAGATAGCCAACTCGATGGAGCAAGTCAGATTGTACTTTGAGGAAAAATTCTGTCAAGCAACCACGTAAAGTGTGCAAAAGTTTTGCTAAATAACTGTAGGAAGAGAAGATAGCAAATAGATTTTTAATTATCACACACTTCTTTTGCCAAAAGTGTGCACTTTTTTTTCTTCCGAAGAACTAGAATTTCCACAATGTTTTTATCCTGATTTCTTTGTTAATATCAAACTACAGCTGGCGTGGTTTTTTTAATTTGTAACGTTTCTGCTGTTTTGTCTGTGAATCCACCTGGAGAAATTTTGTTATTTCTCGCACGATTCCAGCCTCGGCACGCAATACCCACCGCCATCAGAAAAACCATATTTTTCTTCTGCAATTATTGCTAAAAAATTAGCATTTGAATGTGTAAATTTAATAAGACGTGCTTGACTTTTTTCAAGGTCACTATCCATATTTAAACAAGGTCAAGAAATTCTATTTTTGTGGCCTAATAATGCTGTACTAAATGAGAGGGTTAAATGCCATTCGTGAGATATTTGCCTTGTTTCTAAGAATGGGTTTTGTTGTTTAAATCAAACAACGACTTAGCAATTTCCTGATATGAGTTGATTCAATGTGACTACACCTATCGCTTTCTATGTCCTATCAATCCAAACATCCTTCTTATTAGGTCAACAACCTTTGAACCTACCATTTTTTTGATTGTGGTCAAGGTCACACGCGATACGTGCTAACTCGACCCTTCGGCTAAACAGGAAAAGCTCCCTACAAAAATAAGCACAAAAAGATAATTTGGGTTTTATTGAACATTCTGCCGCTTCTCATTTGCAAAGCGTGACATCTGGGTGATGCTTTCAAGGTTAATTAACAAATCCGTAGCCAATGGGAAATCAGCTTCGTCAAGAGCCAGATGAATATTGATCGTTAACGCGTGTTTAGAATTAAGGGACTTGAACCAATAATATTTCAACTAGCAAAACGTGGGTTTTCTTATTTGATTAAATCGTAATGTGTCTTGCTGCTTGTCAGATTGACTATTTGATAAAAAAATTTCTCCGACGTGTTCTAAAACCAATTTTAGAGAATTTTAAAATTCTCCTGGCGACATATTTTTAATAAATTTCATAAACTTACAAATTTAATTATCCCGCTAATTCCTTAAGTCGGTTGTTATTAAGTATAAAATTTTTTTGTCCGCGTTGGTTTTATTTGGTCACGTGTATACTACACTACAAAGAATAGGAAAAGGAGTCTTCTTATTTCACTGACGAGTTATTGGTAAAGACAGATTAGTGAAAACAAACTCCATAGGTACGGCAAAATTAACCACGCACTTGTTTGAATAGTGAAGTCAATTTTCACGCGCTATTCAAAATAGTGAAAAAGACATTAACGTCAATTGATACTAAAACGGTGTAAAACAAGTAAAGGCAATCCACGTAACAAACTGACTATCGGTTTTGTATAAATGCGTTGCTATGCTAGTTATAGTGATAGTCGGTCTAAGGGCTGATTTTACCAGAAACAGCTATTCATTTGCCCCTTAAAATGTTAATTAAATAAATAGTGCTTCATAGAACTGAATTGGATTGCAAAGTGCTCGATACAACAGATAGCATTGATGTCTATTTTTGTAAATGGGCCAAATATTGGATGCTGGAATTGATTGAAACGGGTTATAAGGTTGTGAGATGAATCATGTACTGAAATCCGTGTAAGATGTCACTGACGTGAATGCGGGATGTCGTAGTAAGAGGTGCTTGGCTGGACGTGTCCGTCTAGACACAGAACGCTGCAAATCGGGAGACTGGCTAGACACTCGCGGTAAGTCGGACTTCGTCAAAGCATCCACATTCATTCACTTCGACAGGTGTGGCTGAGCGTAGTTTGATCAAAGTGTTCTGTGGCCCTGTCTACTGCCTCATTCCTAGCGTGTGTAACATCCAAGCAACGAACAAACAAGGCAAATGAGCAGGTTGAATTCGTGGCGGTTGTTGGGAATTAAGCACGAGCAAACGCTTTGTGCGTAAGCCTATTTCCTCGGAACAGCACCACATTTAATACAGTGTGATTATCAGGGGACTAAGAGTAAAGCAGGCACATGAATAGCAAAACCGATTGGAGGCCATGACAGTCTGAACGCGGAGTGGAAGCACTAAGCATGTGTTTCTCAAGGCACCAAGCAATGCACATGGAAACACAGTCAATTACTACACGTTGGGTCTACTTCCTACACACAGACATGCATATGGGGATGAGCAGGCACTGGTGCATCTTGGAACGGTCCACTTAACAGACACGTTGATGTCTGAGGTGTCGACGAGGTGTCGGAAAATGCGTAAACGGAGACGACAGACAGTAATTAGCTCAAAA